GATACAGCCGGACATCCTTCTGTAGCCTTTATCCAGACTACAGCCAACATTTTACAGTAGTTCAGGCCTACGTCTACTTATCAATGCCTTCTAACACCTCAGAAATTCCCGCACTAACGTCGGGTGTGAAGGAAGAGTTGGCTGAAGAAATTAACTTCCCTAGTGATCTTCACGAGCAGAACTTCCTTCAGCCCCAGAGTTTTCATCGGTTCTGAAGCAGCCGCTCTGTGACAAAGAGAGGGGTAACCGGGTACAGTTCCGTCTCTGTCCCTCCCGGCACGACATGCTATGTCGTTACCATGACAACAGACTGAGGGCAACAAGACTCATCTTCGTACACTGCACCTCAAATGTTTGTTACTTCATCCTTCTGGAGAGAAATCATGAACATCTGTTCGTCAGGCCACATCCTTTCCAATTCATTAACCTTATCATTCGACGTCATACAGTTCGAGCTTTTGTCAGCGCTGTTAAACGAATCATAAACTCCAAAACAAACAAACTGTCCACATTCCGTTTCTCTAATCGTTATTCGTGTTAATAGGTCGACCGGTGTTATCGATCAATCGAGGTGCTTATCTCCCGAATTTATTACTTTTTTGGCAAGAAAAGTGCTTAAACTTGGAAACACTTATATGTGTTTCAGTCCCAGACACTTCTAGAGCATATACAATGATCCAGTTGTTCCATTAATTGTCATGGTTTATTAACATCCTCGGCATGAATCTAGGCGAAGCGTAAGGTTTCTGAGATTAACGCATTCATTACGTTTAATAAATTAATTAAGAGGAAGATCAACACATTCTGATAGGCACGTGACGGATGAGAGCAGGGGTATGCAAAGTATTCCTATAATGTGAGTCAGATCATATTTTTTTTCCGAGAGAACGGTGTCCGATAAACAAATCTGAGTTACTTTCGTACTGATAAGTGGGAAATATATGGTGTAAATTGGGGAAATGTTTCCAACCGGCATAATACTGGCCGTGGATTAGAGGAACCAATTTAGTGTCATGGGGAGGATCTGGCATATCGCGGCAAGGCATGTGTTGAATACGAGCGATCACGTACCTTCCGACACCTCCATTTGGGTCAGCAGAGTCCACAGCCGACAATATCTGAAACGAATTAAACTGCATATTAAAATAAAATTATAGTCAGTTCCACATCAGAATATTAGATTTACATTCATAACCCTACAACAGCAACGGTACTGCCACATACTAAACAAAATTAAAGCGTAAAGCTCGATCTTAACGGATCACTTCTGACCGCACAATCTTCATGATGGTAAGACCAGGGTCCATGTGTAGTTTCCAGAACACGGTTAAAGGAACTTGCAGCCTTCGCGGCTTCACAAACCAGAATAATCTGAGTAGGATTTGAGGTTCTGACGGCGGTGAGTACGAAGATGGCTGTATTCTGGGTTATCGCCCTGATGATAGAGGCAGCAAGAACCTCTGAAAAGATGGTAAACTTCTACCAGATTACACGGCGCTGCATCCCAGAAGACAGCTGACTTTTGATTAATATCTTTCCAGCGTTACCAGGACCTGATCCTTCTCGCACCGCAGTGGAAAAGTACTCTGTTCTTACGTTGGCCACACTGAATTGGCGTCCACGGTGTAATGCAATTCGTGCGTTTAACACAAGTCTGGTCCAAGTTCGCAGGGGGGGGGGGGAGGAAGTGGTAAGCTTCGACAGCGTACATGGGCAACAAATCTAACCATATAAAACCCAGTGGTAACTATATGTACCACCTGTTTTAACAATCATTAACCTTGCATTTTACCTACAGAGACTGAAGCTACCGCCTTGAAACGCGAAGCTCCAACATCGTCACCAAAAAACCGACTGGACCACAAAACAGGAGCAGTTATAGTACTCAAAGCGTATTTATCGTACACCAGTTTTAATATTATCATTCCAAATACGCGGTTCCCATGACAATTTTCAAATGAAGCTAGACGAACAGAATGATTTACTATTCTTCGTGTCTTAATCACCGCAGCAATATTGGGCGAAGAGTAAAAGTAACGTGATTTTCCCGTGTCACTTTAACTCTCGTAGACCCAAATAATATTTCCATCACTTTGTTCTCAGTTTCAGGCTTATTTTCTCCTCACAGCGACTACGTACTCATTGGTACAAAAAATTCTGAAAATACGCGATGCGTAAGCTTTGATTTTAACAACTTAAATCTTCGGTACTAGCGTAAGAAGGACTTAAACGTAATCTGTATCGACTTAAGACCTTCTTGCTGAACACCAAAGACATGTTTCATCCATCAGACCAGAGGAACTACTTTAGAAAACAGGCAACTCTTCGTTATTAATTATGCAGTAAAACTATCATCATTCATAATACAGTAGCCCGAAGATGACAATCAACTACAGAAACATGTCGCTCTAATTAGTGAATAAGTGGAATAACACCTCTGATGTATCTGTCACAGTTCATTTTGCTATAATAAATTAAATGTTAACATGAGTATTCCTGCTTGTGCAGCTTGGTACGAGGCTCGCACAGCCAGCCACGTTCTGACTTCCTTAGCTTAGAAATGTATTTATTCTAGGCGAGAAGAGGCACACGTCTGACCCAAACAATCTTGAAGTGATTCCAAATATGGAAACAACTATCAACTGTAATTTAATTTGACTTCTGTCAGTCATAAGCTTTATTTGATGGTCATATATGCGTACACTGAGCCTTTTAAGTGGCTAAAACGAGAATGTATTTTGTCAACATCCGACTGGCCTTACAACAGTAGATTTGGATCTGCATAAACGAAAATCAGACTCTCGTAACCCACAGAGTAAAATGGCAGAAGGGCCACAGAACTCACTCAACATTTCTGACGATTAATGTTTTTATTTTATTTATTTAGTGTTCTGTCTGACGACAGGTCCATATGAACAGGATCCTTCCATCCTTTTCTCGGACTGGGACCTGTTCATATACGTTCTTGGCAGATGATCCAGAAGTGGTTTGCCATTGCCTTCTTCTGTGTGTGAATGGAGTAATTGTTGGGATGCCACGGAGGAAAACTCCGTGTTGCCTAGACCACGGTCTTGCCCAACACAAGTTATAAATTCGGGCACCGCCGGGAATCGAACCCGAGACCCCAGGATTACAAGGCCAGCGTTCTAACCGCTAGACCACCGTGGCGTCTGATTAATGCTTACTGTACAATAAATCTCAGCAGGTGAAGGCGACGCCAAGTCCTAACCTGGCCGTCAGAATTTGGAATCTGCGTAAAGTTATGTTGCATTGTGCTAATACGTATCTCAACTCAGAATGTTTGCTGACTACAACAGATAAATCTGATAGGGGAAGTGTGTCTTCCTGAAACTTGTGCATTTTGTTACCCGCAACAGAGGACAGTGGCTGATCTGTTCCAAGAAGCTGTTCATTCAGGTAGGAGTGAGTCCTGACAGTATCTGACAAAGCCAGTCTAGCTTCGATTGTCATAAGACACCGAAGTTCCGTCTCCAAGTTGGCAGCCCTGGTTACTTTTCTGCGAACTCTGTTTCGGTAATACAAAGACACTTTGTTTTGTTCTGTTCATTCGTTATTTACGTACGTATCAAAACAGAAAAGCAGATGTGAAGACGTGAACTGACTCCGGATAGGGCGGGGACAACAATGACGACAACGCACATTAAGATTCAGCAACAGAGAATTTCTTGGAACAGTGAAGTACTGACTGCCCAGACAATGAGGACGCAAGCCCGCAGAACCCTTTGAATTTCAAGTTAATCCAAACAGCATTTAAGAATCCAGTCCGTACCGCAAAGAAATCATCACATTCCACCATTACAAAGATCAAACGGTTAATGCTGTTTAGTATATAATCGCTGTTTATTCTAAGATTCACATGAAACCTATAAATATACCCTCTGTGGACCAACGTTTCAGAGGTCATACTGCCTCCGTCATCAGGGCGATGAGTATGAAGATTTCTGTCTTCTGGGTTTTTGCGCTGTGTAGTCTGGTCGATGTTAACCAACGTTTCAGAGGTCATACTGCCTCCGTCATCAGGGCGATGA